ATTACTCGACAAGTATCATGCGGGTATATAAATTTGGCAGCATATCCCTGCAAATTTTCATTTCACATAAACTAAAGAGCATCGATAAAAACCAACTTTAACTAAACCGAAGAGCTTCGAAACGCACTCGTCCTTCTCTTGTGATGTGGTTTTCTTACTGAAATGCAAATTCAAAACAATGCCAGTCGATGAGACTGTCAAGTAGATGAATAATAGGTTACTGAAGGAGAGCAAACCACAAACTGGGTTCATACTGATCCATTAGTTCCAGAACATTTCCAGCACAACGCTCAATTACACAGCTGTGCTGGAACTGTTGCCGGACTTACGGCAGTATGAACCCAGCCAAACGCTTACCTTCTAATCTTCTCCCATAACTGCTTGCACTCCATTGCTCGATCAGAATTTGGGTTTCTCTGAGCCTGCCAACAACCTATTAGTGGCAAAGCTTCGCAAAAATTTGCGACGGCCCACCTTAAGTTGCTTCAAAAACGCTTTCCTTTGCTTCCTATCCATTGTCAACAACTGCTCCTTGACCTTCTTCGTAACCTAAGATATTCAAAATGAATGGTATCGTCGAAGCAGAACAATTGCAGCATGAAGTTTATAAAAACCAAAAAAGTGAAGCGCGGTATAGAGGTAAGGAAAACCAGGAAGAACGAAACAAAAGTGATCAAGTTGAACAGGGACCTTGAGGAAAGACCTATGTAAGGCCTACTTATAGGGTTAGCATACCTGTATCTTTATCTTCTTCTTTGCCACTATGGGCTTTTCTACATCCTTCGTCTCCACATTTTCTATATCCATTTTCTCGTCCACTCTGGCCTTTTTCGGCGATGGTGAGCTAGCCCCATTGGGTTTACTCGCCTACAAACAAATTCAAAGCAAGAGCAAGGAGAGATAAGAGCAGAACAGTAACCTTTTTCTTGGTTAGCACTTTCGAGTTTTTAGCGCGGAGGATACCTTTACCAGGAGAGGCAGATGACGGTTTTATGACTAGGTCTTTGACATTTTTATCAAAAACTTTCACCTTCTCCATTCCGCTAAAGGATACCTGAATGAAATGGAAAATTAAGCTTACATTGAGGATATTTTCTCCAAAAATAGTTTTTACTCCTTTGAACCATGCGAAAAACTTCTAGACAAGAGAAATAAGGGGAACTAAAACATTCTCAACCCTGCGACAATGACGCCCTATGGGTAACTTACCCTTTTGCTCGCCTTCTTCTCGATAGATTGACCAGGAGTTGAAGGGTTAACGGAAACAATTTCGTCGTCATTCTCTTGCTCATTCTCTTGCAATTTTCTTAGCTCAGCTTTTACGCTGTCATGAAGCTGAGTTTTGAACTTCTGCTTTTCCTCGAGCTGAAATACCATCCAGTTGGTTTAGCATCTTGGTAAAAGGAAAGTTGAAAAAAGAGCAAAGAAAAAGAAGAGACTGTCAACATATCCAATGCTTACCTTTCCTAATCGTTTCCTGTCAACTTGATTCAGTTTCAATCCTTTAGCTTTCTTCTCCAAGAGGTTCTTCACCTTCTTCTTCCCCTTGAATTTCTTCTTCTTGTCCCGTTGAGTGCCCAGGAGTACCATTGTTGGACTAAAATGACAGAATTAGAAAGCTTACGTTGCTGAGTTCATACATAATGAAACTGGAGAGAAACTTAAAAACGACTTCAACCTCAATGACCATAATCAAACTTTGCATAATAACCAAAATAGCGATAAGGCGTGTCTAAACAGCGTCGTACGCAATTGCATCACAGGCCACGGGTTGAAACCAAAAAATTTGAGTTTTTGGATCTCCTTCGGATTTAGAAGAGTTGGGGGGAGGGGGTCATT